AAGGCCACCGCGCCCGGGGGGGGGGGGGGGGGTAGGGGTAAGTTGCTTGCGCAGAAATTTCCAACATCTGAAAAGCAGGATACTACGTGCCAGAAAAAATACGACCCTTCCCATTCGACGCTTCTGATGCCCTTGTTTCTGCACGCATCTTGACATAGGAAATCCAACATGACATAAAAAACGATGTCCACCAACCCTTCGTATCACACGCTTCTGATTCCCGTGAATGTGCTCGCATTTGACATCTGACATCCAGCATGAAATAAACGACGATGTCCACCAATCACCCGTTACCTCGTAGGATGTGTGCTGTCCGGAGGAACACTCGACGGTCGTGTCCGCCCTGAGCCAGCTGCCTTCCCCGTCGTCGGCGTCTCCATTCCCTTCCCCGTCCCGGCAATCGAACACTCTCAGCAGCACCGTGCACACCACCGGGTACAAGAGGAGGCAGACCTGATAGACAAGGCCACGCAACGTTGTTGTTGTTGTTGTTGTTGCTGTTGTTACCTTCACATTAAAAACCGTTCCGTTCTCTCTGCCCAGTACCTTCTTCTGTCCATACTCGTCTATCACTTGACGGGGTCGATTCCCGTGGTCACAGAGCGGTGTTTGTTGTTGTTGTTGCTGTTGTCTCGTCGTCGTTGTCGTATTTGTGTAGATTTAGATTTGAGTTGTTCGATTTTGTTGGCGGCGCCGTTGTATTCGTGTTGTGCTCCCAGCTTCTTGTTGGCTGTCTCGCTCTAATGTCATCGCAAGACCACCTCACCCTTCTAAGGAAGGCTACTGTTCCCCTTGGTGATGCATTTGACCATTCCACAGCGAGAAAGATGAAAGACGGTCGTGCACGACGCAACCGCATCGTCTTGTGGACAGACGTCACCACAAGGACCGCTCACTGGCACTAGCAGAACCAACACAACCGAATGTGGGCAACAAACTCCAACCATACACTTGTGGTGGTGGTGATACAATCAGCTACCAGCAGTAGCACCAAACGCGCGTGGAGACAACAACGACATCGCACGACACGACAAGATCGCGCCGCACCGTAGAGTCGCAGCGGCCCCACTGCCGCCCCCCCCCCCGCCCCACTATCACCGCCAAGCAACAAACATCCACCCTCAATTTTCGTGCTTCATGACCCGAACGCGGGAGTATGTGGCCGCGATTCGTTACTTCGGATCACTCGATCATTTTTGGTGATGCCGTGTGTATGAAGGGTGGCGGGGCACTGGTTATTGCTTGTCTAACGATCGTTCTTGTCGAGACTACTGTAACAGAGACGCTGAAAAGATCGGAGTACAACTCGTTGACCTTCCCCGCCATGAGAGTTCCCTTGGAATTGTTCTGCCCAAAGATCTAGGTTGGCCTCAAAATCAGGCAAGAGGTTTGCAAGGCAAGAGAGGTTACACGCGAAGAGGCTGCCAGGCAAGGGGCTGCGGAGGAATAGGCTGCAAGGGAAGAGGTTGCACGTGCAGAGACTGCAAGGCAAGAAGAACAACTCACCACCACAGCGGCGCAGGTGTGTCTCTCAGCAGCGCTCCAGCGACCCCACCGCTCCCAAGCATCACTTCTCAAGCTCCCGCTGCCGCCACCGGTCTCCATCTGAACGGAGGAAACCGGAGCACTGTCGTGCCGCCCCCCCCAAGCACCCTCGCCCTGCCGCACCGAAGCTCCCTTGCGCACCGGATGGTTGCCGTTGTTGATGCCGCTGTTCTCCCAGTCGGTGCAGAAGCCGGCCAGGACGAAACTCAGGAATAGCGCCACCAGGGCAACCGTGAGGAGGCCGACTGTACCGTTCACGCTGATTTCGGGGGGAGGGGGGTAGAGTGCAGAGGTTGTGATATCCCCTTGAACAGAAAGAGTTTCGGTGGCCTCGGTACGGTTCTATCTCGCCCCCATGCCCCTCTCTTTTCGTGCACCGTAGACGCAAAATCGCTACCTCAACTGCTGCCTTCAACAACAATTTTACGCTGCTCGATAACCGGGGTGGAGCTGTACGGTTGCTGAGTACACGAGCAGCAACACTACGTTGCAAGAGCGACGTGCGATAAGAGACAGACAGACAGACAGACAGACAGACAGACAGACAGACAGACAGACAGACAGACAGACAGACAGACAGACAATCTTACCGGTCCAAAAAGGGAAGCTCGGGCAACACGCAGCTCCCGGCGAAGGATTGGGGGTCCACGTTGGTCCACTTGAGCGCCGACAGCACCCTCTGCATGGCCATGGGAAACTCTAGCTCCATCACTTCAGACCCCTGCGTTGCATGCGACAAGATTTCGGGTCCGATTTCCTATTGATCCGTTGTAGGCCGTTGTCTTAGAGTGGTGTTGTTTTGTTTTGTTTTGTTTTGGAGGTTGTGGTTGTTGTCGTTGCTGATGGTGGTGGTGGTGTTGTCGCGACACGCCATCCTCGTCAAAATTCCCTGGAAAAATAAAGTTCCCACCTAACCTCCGTCTTGTCTGACATACTACCACACATTAATGAAAACGTGCTGCCGCCTGGTGTGTTTGTTGGCAGCATGAAACGCTCTACAACTACCTCTGTACACTGCTGTAGACATGGATGGCGGAATCGCGCTCGACGAAAACAAAACGATCCCGACCTCGTTCTCGGATGCAGCCAAGACAAACAGACATTTCTCACCAGGGTAATGATTTGTGCCGTGACTGGGAGCGCCATGTCGAGACGTGAGGAAATTTCCAGTTTCCAAGAGGGTAGAAAAATCGACGGAAATGCCGGGAAATGTACCCAGCCCACGTGGTGGCGGAGGTGACAAGTTAAACGAAAAAAATACACAAGGGAGTGAAAATCGGGACATCAGAAGTGACTACAACCACGGCGGTTTCGCGAGAAAACATTCATGTTCATGGCCAGATGAGAAGGGCCCTGCATGTTCATGTTCATGTTCAGATAGACGGGGAGAGCTGAGCAGACAGCTTCAAGGCAAGGTGGCACGTACACGTTGCAGATGCAAAAACCTCCGTATGATACACTACCAAAAGTGACCCACGGTCGTCAGTGTCGAAGAGTCAATTTTTCCAACCGCCCCCACAACAGAAGATTGGCACACAACAACCCCAGCTACCCTAAGCTCCCTCGCCACAACCACCACCCAACACCCAACACCACGTGTCCAGAGCCCTCGAGCGCCTCCAACGCCGCTACCGCCTGCCTGCTCACCCACGAAAACCAAGCCTCCCTGCAATAACCGCCCCAAGCCCTCGCGTCCGCAGCTGTCCCCGCCCGAAGCATCATTCCCCCCCCCCCCCCCGGCCCCCGACCGTCCTGCTGTTCGCGGGCCATTGCCGTTGGCGGCAAGGTGTTTGGAAGAACGGCCGTGCGACGATGCGGACATCGGAGCGGCGTCCTCCTTCGAGCCCCTGTTCGTGATCCCTCCCCACATCTGCGCGATCCTGCGTGGCGGCGACTTCCCGTTCCACAAGGCATCCTGCGGGGTGGCGGGGCGTGGTACACGAACGATGGTTACATCGAAAAATGCTGGTATTCGGGCAACACACCGTTACGCTCAGATTTCTGACATTCGGAGAGACACCTTGTCTACAATAGTCCTCGGGACGGTGGAGAGCACAGCAGAGTATCAAGAGGGCCAGACCAAGGGTGCAACACAGAGGAGTGATAACGACACCTACTTGCTAAGAGGGGTCGGAATAAAAGGAAAAAAATCGGTGATGCAGTAATTTTTCGAGCAAAGTTAAAAAAAAAATGACACATTTAAAATTACGTTTTGCATCTCTAGGTTTACTTATGTTAGTATACCTAGTTGGCCAGACATTAATAAATTACGTTTTGGATCTAACCCTACTAAATTTTAGTATACCAGACATTTTTTAATCAAATCTTGGATCATTAGTTTTACTTGATTTTAGTATACTCCTTGGCCAGGCCTATGAAAACGACCGCCGCCTCTCACCAGAGTGAAGCAGAGTATCAAGACGGCGAGGGTGACGAAAACAACCGCCCGGACGGCGTTGCCGACGGTGCACTGAGACCGAGCCGCCTCGCACTCGCCTCCCTCCGTCTCAACGAACCCCGAAGCGCACTCGGAGCAGGCTGTGGCGAAACAACGACCAAGGGTCAAGACGGGGTGGGGGGGAGTACTCATGTTTCGCATGCCTTAGCGGTTAGACCATTGACCACGCGTCCTCGAGGGGGGGGGGGGGACTCATGTTTTTCATGCCTTGGCGGTTAGACCATTGACCATGCATCTTGGAGAGGGCGGATGGAGCCTTGTTTCCACAGGACCGACCGCTTCGTTCCTTCCCAATTTGCCAAATGTGGCTCGAAAAGGGCAGGCGTGGGGCGTGGGACAAGCAGCGGGAACAGGGGCGCGGTTTACCCTCCTTCGTCGTGCATCATCCAGGGTCCCCCCAATCTTTGGTCGTAGTGAAAATTAATGACTTCTTCCACCACCGAGCCCTCACCCGCCACGATACTCATTGCTGCTGCTGTTGCTGTTGCTGTTGTTGTTGCTGTCTTCGCACTAAAAATGTTCCGGCCTGCGCTCATAATCTTCGACTCTCCGTATTGGTCCAACTGACACAGACGCCTTCCGTGGTCACGAGCCAACTACCCAAAGGGGGTGGGGTTGCAACGGTCCAACTGGCCGGCCACGGACGCGAGGAACGATGGTAGGGAGGTCTAGATCGCACTGGCGATTGTCGAGATTCGAATGAATGTGTTCAGTAGAGCTGACCGGCATGTCAGTGTGCGTTGTGGGCTCGGACATGGAAAGTGAGCTGCCCCTTGCTGTACCGTTCACCATGGAGGAACACACTTGACTTTCTCGCAGGCGCACACGGCCCAGACTGGTAAGGAAGGTACAAACGAGAAACATCAAATCTTGAGACACACAACATGTCAAAGTGTTGCAAGTAAAAGAACGCACAACAATGCCACGCACGGCGAAAGCGTAAGACGAGGTGACCCCCCTACCGTAGCAATCAGGTGGTGTAGAAACAGAATGAGGGAAAACGTGCCTAAAGGCATATGCTACGCAATGTACTCACAATCTCCGAAGTAGCCCTCGGGGCACTCCACCAAGAGACCCCTGCGGCCAAGACCTCCCGCGGGGGCGATGTCCATCTCGTGGTCCTCGTCCTCCCCGCCAGCCTCCCCCGCCACCCCGCTCCCGCCGCCTGCTGAACCTGGGGGCGACGCCACGGGATTCTCGCCCCCTCGCAGCCCCCTCCCCTTGCCGGCACTCCCGGTGGCCTCACTGCTCGCACCAAGCCGCGGCACGCCGAACAGCCGCTCTTGCAAGGCGAGGAAGCCCCGGGTGCCGAAAGGCAACCACCACCACGACCGCTGCTGCTGCAGCGCCTGGAGAAGATTATCATCACCCCCGGCGAAGCCGTCCGCCTCTCGCAGAGCGTTCCCGTCGACGACGGCACCTGCGGTGCCGCCGCCGGTCGAGTGCACCCAGAGCTGGGACCCGTCGCCGGACACCCAGACGGAGCGGTGGCTTTCCACGCTGCCCGGCGGCGAACGCGACCGCATGGGGGGCGCTCCGTTCGGTGGCGGCGGCGGCGGCGGCAGCAGAAGCCTGCCGTCAAAGACGCCCCAAGAAGTCGACTCGAGGAGCGGCGCGTCAATCTCTTCATCGTCCACCGCCGGGGTGGTGGTGGTGGTGGTGGTGGTGGTGGTGGTGGTGCCACTCAAGTGTTGGTATTCCGTGCTTGACGTCGGAGCGACGGCGGTTACCGCTCCCTTGGCTTGATGCGCCTCGACCCGGCCGCCGCTAAGCAATGGCGCCGCTCCCGCCCACCTCAAGAGCAACACTCGGCTCTCTACCCACGCAGCGTCGCGGCCGCTCGCTCCTCCCGCGAAGCCCCCCTCGGAGAACTCGCAGTCGACCAGGGTAGCGGTGCCGCCGAGCAGCCGCAAGAGCGTCAACCCCGCGCCGTAGTCACTTGTACCGCGCACATTGTGTGTTGCGGCATCCTCCTCGAAGGACTCCGTTTCTGGCGGTCGGGTTGCTGTTGCTACGATGCGGCGAAACGCCATCGACTCCGCGAGAAACTCCCCGCCGCTCTCCACAACCAACGCCGCCGCCAGCCAGCCACCGCCGTTCCGTGCTGGCTCTCCGCCTCCAGCGCTCGGGCTGCTGCTGTCCCGTAGCACGACCGAGCATCCGTCCGCCAGATGCAAGCGACTGCTCTTCGCGACGTGGGCAACAGCAGGCGAAGCGCTCCCGCCGCCGCCGCCGGCAGGACCGAAGTAGCACCCGCGGGCCTCTACGAGACTTCCAGGAAGCAGGTCGAACAGCAGCAGCGCAGGCCCACCGCCGCTGCCGCGAGGGTCACCGCCGCCACTGCTGTCGCTCAACACCGACAGGTTTTCCACCACCAAAGTTGCGTCCTTCTCGACCTGGAACAGAGCGCCCACATCATCTTCGTCACCGCTGCTTCCGGCGGCGTCTGGCCGTCGCCAATCGGCGTTGCCGGTAGCGGGTCGGGAATACGTAACCGTTGCACCCGGGCTGCCGCCCAAGATGGTTAGCCGGCTGGAGACACCGACCTGCGGAAAAAGGGTGTTCGATGGATGAGGTGGTGCAGGGTACACGACGGGCGGAAGCCGCCAATCGTTTGTTTCATGGTGGAGCAGCCTACATGAATATTTCGGCGGGTCGGGAAAAGCTCTGCAGCGCTACATACAAAAGCCGGTCTCCACATTAGAAGTTCTATCGTGAATAGAAGGTACCTTTGCTATTGTACCATGGCATGAGAGGGCGAGGCTCGGAAACAATTTGTACCCAACCATGAATTGATGCAAATCGGGCACTTTCACAAAAAACAATCACGGTTCAATAACAATCACGCATTTCCGTCAAAACGTTATTTCGGTACTCGGCGGGAGCCCATATTCTGCCGACGTTTACCGTCCCTCTCTGAAATCCGTGGCCTGTTCCTCGCTTTGCTTGTACCGAGGGTGGGGTGGGGAGTAGCCCACGCCGGCGGCAGCATCGGCATGCCAGACTCTGTAGCTTACAAAGGACCCTCAAAGGAGAGACGGTACAACTAAAAATCAATAATCAATCATGTCGATCCCTCAATATTGTTCCCCCCCTCCCGGACATGTGCCGTAGCATGTTGTTGTTGTTGTTGTCTCCACATCAACAACCGTTCCGACTTCTCTATCCGGCACGTTAATCAATTGTTGTTGTTGTTGTTGTTGTTGTGGTCTTAACATCAAGCACATTTCCTAATAAATGCTCTGCAGAAATGCATGTATTGCCGAAGCGGAAGGCAAAAGTAGATATGGTAGGTAATTTCGTAATTTCCGGTTGACAAATGAGATACTTGTACCAGGACGCTGTGAAATGTGGTTTCCGCGATGGGCAAGATCTCCGGAGAGATGTGCAGGTGCATTTCAAGTTGCCGTCTACAATCTACAATCTCTCTCGTGATCAAATTTTTCACACCCAACTGCACCAGCCAGTCTTTCAATCTTTCTTTTTTATGTGCCGCATGCTCGGCGAGTTTGATCCCCCCAAGTCCCAAGAAAAGAGCTGGAGTATGTGCCAAAGTCGACGAGAGGTCAAAATAGAAACGAAAATCACCCCGGTGGAACTATTTGTACAACACCACAGCCGCATGCATACATGTAGATATATAGCCGTTGGGTGTGTGTCTGGTCTGAAAATACTGCGGGTGGAAATGATGGGCGGGCCAGGGCGGATATAGTCTATGGATGGTACACTTGGATGCAGGCATTTGTTTCCACCCCCCCTGCACCGGTCGGGCAAAATCAAAGTTTCGAGGTAACCACTTCCACATCTACAGGTTGAACGCTGAACCGATCAACCACTTCTTGGGGCGAATTTTGTATTTCTCATGAAAAAAGGTCCTGCTGTGTGACCCCGGCGGATACATGCGTCAGGACGTCGGGTAGATACGCCGAAACACCTGTAAACCGGCGCCAGAATACAAATGTAGATGGGGCGGACACACGCACTATGCTACAAAAAAGAAACACACACACACACACGCTGCCGGCGGGGGAGTATCATATCTACAACATGCCTGCAGTCTGGATAGACTAATGTGTATGCCTGATGCATATCACAGCCAGCAGTGGTGGGGTCAACAACCAACTTTGACGACTTGCCGCAAAAATGCGTGCCTCCCGGAGCTCGATAGCCCAGACGGCAAGAGAGGGGCGCGCACAAAAAGGCGTGCACTTCGTATGAATATCAGTACTTTGTATGCTATCATACAACAAAAGAGTCTAAAAACCTGTTTGTATGTACACACGTACACACGTCCCTGCTGCGGACCACGGGTGTGGCGTTGGAGGAGGAGCATGGAGCAGGATCGCCGCACACAGCACTTCACTTGTATTTCTCACTGTCATGATCTCCGCTACTGCTGGTTGTACGTAGCTGAAGCATATTTCAGTGAAACGCTATGAAATGCACTGCTGTCCATTGTGCTGATGCGGTAGCATATCTAAACTCTGCTTGAGAAAGATACTTTCGGAGTTATTGGTCATGAAGATGCGTGAACATCAAAACTTGATGCTCAAAATGAATAATACCCCAAGGAGAGAATATAGACTATATGCTATAAAAAAGCAGTGTACAAGCATTTGTCGAAAACAAACGAAAGACAAACCACACAGCATGCATCCAAGCAGGGCGAACGCCTTCCACTGGCCACACACGAACATCGTCACCGGGCACCTCACCTTGATGGGCTCATGCAGAGTCACCGACCCAAGCCAGGAAGCATGCACGACGGCACCCTCTCTGGCGACACAAGAGGCGAGGAGCGCGGCATCCGCTGCTGAGGCCACGACATGATGGTAGACTTGGGGATGAGCGCCGTAGGCTCGGGCGCGACACAAGAGGGTGGCAGCCAACAGCGCCTTCGCCACCACCCAAATCATGTCTCGGGCACTCTTCCTTGCTGCTGTTGCTGCTGCTGCTTTTGCCCCTGCTGCTGCTGCCGCCGCAAGCCGCGTGCACGAGCAGCGGCAAAAAGATTGAAGCAAACAATACGCTTGAGCGTGTCTGTCGTGGTACGAAAAACAGAAAAAAAGAGATGGATACATACATGTCATACAGATGTCGCCGAGCGATTGAGAGAGAGGGTGGGAAAGGGTGTGAGGGGAGGTTGTCACGGGCGGCTGGCCCACACTTCAACGGGAGTGGGCATCGCATGCACTCTCCCGTGCGAGACAGACCGACAGGTATAGCAAGAGAAAGAGAGGTTAGGGGTAGCGAGAAAGAGACAAGAGACACTTTTACGGCAAATACTTGCAAAGAGCAGAAGAGAAAAAAGAACGGGCAGACAAATCGACCGTATCGTCGTGTCTCACCCACCAAAATGCACCTCTGTCCGTGCTGTATCAGCCGCCGGCCCCGCTGACGTTCGCCTCAGGATACACACCAGCCAGCCCAGTTCATGCCCCGGGTACCGCCGGTGGCAGTACTCCTACTATGCCTGTCTCCTCGCTGCGGGTGGTGTGTGAGTGAGAGATCAGTAGCAAGTGGCCCGCGAGCGTGAGAGCGCTCGTGGTTGGTTGATGGTTTGAGTTGTTTTCCGGAATATTTTGTAGTTTTTGGTTTTTTATTTCCAAAATAATGTCCAAAAAATAGACTCTTCGACAATCTTGGTCCCCACGTCGTTGTACCCGTCCACTTTGGCTAGCTGTCCATCACTCCCCCGTGTATGAGCCTGCCGTGTGCTTGGCAAGAAGGATGCGTGAAATAACTGGAGGTTCTCACATGCACGCTAATCGTGACCTGCACCGGTGGGCCCTCCTGTCCACTGGTGGCAGCGGTGAGATACGTGTCATCTCAGAGCAAGAAATCGCAAATAACATGCAACCTATACGGATATGTTCCGTGTACTCTGACCATGGTTGGAGTGTCGGAGTCGCCACGCGAAGGATTCCGGGATATTTTTTTAATACCCGTTGAGTTGTCCAACAGTCCCGGGATCTTTGGTCTCTTGTTCCATATTTGTTTCCGGAACGGGATGTACTCGGCATACGGTACCCACACCAGGACTGGCATACAAATATCCCCGCTGCTGACACCCGAGAGAAGAGAACACAAGGCAGCGAGGTGTGTACGATAGGTACCTTTGGGCAGCACCATCATGAGCTTGCTGCAGGCCAAGGCTGCTGCAGTGCTAGTAGCGCTGGGATGCACCTCGACGTCGACTACCACTACTGTGTCTGGGTTTGGTGTGGTGGTACCCGTTGTATTAAACAAGAGGGCTGCAGCAACCAGTTTTCTGCCGCAGCAGCAGCAGCAGCTCCCTCTGCATGGGGCTTCGACCATCAGCAGTAGGGCTACCAGCCAACGCAAGGCGCCGTTTACGATCATGCAAGCCTCTGGCGATGGAAACGGAGAGCCGAAGGCAAAACGAGAGGTACGCGGTCCTGTTTTTTTCGGACGTGGTCGAAACGAACACAGCACACGCAGACACGGCGGTTGATGACGATGCACTCTTGGTCTCTCCCAGTAGTATAATAGTACAATTCAGCGTGCATGCAGGGAAGGAAAGGTTGAGCGGCTGCGTGTGTGTGAATCTCTCGGCGCGAGTCGCTTCGTGTAGCATATGGTGTTATTGCTGGGTCACCTCTTGATATTCCTGATAAAGCGTCACCGCTTTGCACGCTCACAGAGCGTCACTGCAGGCACCCATTGCATTGTATCTGTCTGCAAACGAACAACAAAGTTGTGTATGCTACATTATAGTCTACATACTTCGTACAAGTATTGTACGGCGGTGCTGAGCGCGTGTTACGTACCACTTCGGTACGTACCAACATGAGGAGGGCTTGGCATAGGGCGGTGCTATTTGAGCGCGTGAAACGTACCAAGTACTGTAGGTACCTTGGGTGAGGTGCAGGCAATAGACGCTAGCACACGCACGCGCCGCAGGGTAATTCCTCTGTAGAGTAGGACAGCAGTAAGGCATCAACTCGGAAAAGCTCGCTGTTTACATGTAACTGGGCCATGCTGCCACCTACACAGCAGTTGATCGAAGACGCAACAACACAGCGTGCAGCTCAACATTTAGAATTTTAGACAGAGTGCGAAGAGTTATTGCCCGATATGTACATCTGGGTCGATCATCGATAAACAACGGCAGGGTGCGTTGGACACAGACAGGCGTGACCACCCGGAAATTTCTGTTTGATTCATTTCCGCTGGATGGCCAAGAAACAAACTACAATCCGATTTGATGCATGCAGAGCACTGCTGTACACTGAGATGGTGTTGTAGCAGTGCTGAACGTGGGAGGTAAAAATCTGAATTTTGGAACGTTGTTGAGTTAAACTACCCGCGCGTTGAACTTTCTCTCTTCCTAGAAAATATCGCTGCAAAAAAATAAAACACGACTAGTCTATTGTACCCGTTCGGGATACAATCTTAATCTTTCCTGCTCTCCTGATGGTGCCGTTGGTGTACTGTAACAGTACAAACGTAAAGACAGCGCCATGCTTTCGTCAGTGAAAATCTGTTTACGTTTGTCTCACGATCGTACGCGTACGTGCATTTGGTGTTTGGTTTGTGCAGCCTTGACCCTCCCCTCGCCCTCCCCACAACTCCCTGCGGAGGCTCGAGAATGTGTGCGGTACTCATGTTCATTCACTGTAGCACCGAGCAATTTCTCCGGGGATCAGGGGTCACCCACGGAACAGTTTTCAGACATCGAAGGTTAATCATTCGACGAAGTAAAAAGAACCGGACCCCTTGTAGAAGCATGTTAGTACGTTAGTACAGAGTAGTTACCTATACCTATACCTATACCTATACCTATACCTATACTACAGTAGTACACGAAACATTCCCTGCTGGTTTCCTCACTGATCAAGTCAGGAGCGAGAGTGGTGTAAAAGGTACTTACACTAGCCTTGCTACCTGTACTGCATTGCATCGTAGCGTTCTGTTACACCGGAAGGAGGTGACTCACATGATGCATCCATCCGAGGAGGCAACCATTGGTCTTTTGT